AGTTGATTCAAAAAATAATATAACATGGTTATTTTTATAACTAAACTAAAATAATCAATAAACAATTGACAATGTACTTTTAATTTTGGATAAATGTAATAAAACTTCAGTGTTATCATTCATTTTTGTGAATATATTATGGAGCATGTGCTTGCCATATTATAGTGAAAATCAATACAAAGTTAAACAAATTGATAGCTATTATGAGTATCAGTTTGCTTCCAAATCTCATAGAAATGTTGAGTTTTAGAAACACTTTGATGAAATATGTTAAAAATCTAATTATAATATCTAATTTAGAATGAAATTGATTTTGAGTAATGGAATCACACACTTCTCTAAAAATTGATACTATATGATAATTGATACTTTAGGGCTTTAATGATATTATCAAAAGTACTAACTTCAACCAAATTATATTATTTGAGTTTCTGAAGCACACATGACACAACGAAACACATAATGTAAAACTAATTTTTCAAAATATGGAACATTAAATTGAATGCAAAAAATATCTCAACGAAGAAAATCAATGAAGCGTTAAAAAAGCTCTTCAATAAGAGTTGAATCTTGAGTGTTGACTCCATTAGACATTTTGAACCACATAAATGCAAAACGTTTGATGTTATAGATATTATGTTCAAACATGTGTTAGTTGTAGCTTAAGTACAAGATGCTAGTTGTTATGACTTGTGTTCTTAGTTATATAAAAAAACACATAGCAATTGCTTAAGCTAAAATTATATAATCAGTCAAAAGTAAAGATATTCAAGAGGTTTCAATGAAATAGAAGGGCCCATTGTATTACCCCTATTAAGGAGGTTAAAGAGTGGTCTTCTAAAACTATAAAAGACCATACAAAAGAGAGAAGAATGTGGTACAATGTAGAGTGAAATGTTATGACGGCATAACTTGTGAGTCTAACTGTTTACTATAGTATCATTGATACACCATCTACAAAATTCCACCATCCGACATGAATCTAGTGGCTTGATATGAATCTCGATGTGACATTAAGTAAGAAATATTCAAATCATGATAAAAAGTTATTAAAAACTCTGATTTCAACAAAGTTAAAGTCAACCCGAATGACTCGACAAGAAGAACCCAATGTTAGCAAAATTGGTCCAACCCGAACCAAATGAAACCTATATCAAGTATTAAACCTCTTTTATACGTTTTTTGGACATATTTAGAAGGGAAAACGAATGTCAAATCTAGCATTTTTATAATAGAATTGAGCGTCTTGACAAGACGAATCTAACGAGTCCAAGATTTCTCAATTTCGACATTGTTAAGACACTTAAATATCCATCAAATGTTGTCTGATCGAAGGAAGCTCTCCGGGACGTCCGATCAAAGTGTTTCATATTCCTGCATTAATTGCACACATTGCATTATAAATGGAGCCCCACCCCTCTTAGAGAGAGGGGAGAGCTTAAGACTTGACTAATAACTTGAAGCTTTGAGAATGAGCTGACGTCCAACACCACTCTTGTCACCGTCAATCGCCGTTGACTGACATTGGTCATTATTGACACCCATTGATCATCACTGACGACCGTTAACCATCGTCGATCACCTTTGACCACCACATGTCTGCCTCCATCCATCACGATATGTTGTCGCTCACTTTTTACAACATATTCATCTGCACATCGCTATTGTAATTCAGAAAACTTTGTAACTCTTCCCGCCTGTGGAACAAGGGGTCTCTATAATATAACTGAGCCAAGCCTCCTGGTTTTTTCTCTTTATGGGTTTTCCACGTAAAAACTTCTTGCGTCACTACTAATTTTTTTCCTTCTATCCGAGTGTGTGCTGAAATTTCGTGCAACGCTAATATGATAAGCCAATACTCTAATCCCTTGAATTTTCTAGCACACATCAATCATCATTACATTTTATGTGCCCTCCTTAGAATTGTGAAAATACTATTGTAATTCCTCATATAACATCACGACTATTTATATAAAATGATGTAATGCTTGTCATTATGAAGTATTATACATTTTGTTTTACACTCTTTGATAGCACTCTTCCATGTTATAAATATTAGATTTTGTTGTAGTTGCCTTACAATCAAGTGTGCTACAATTATAATAAATATCGAAATCTATATTAAATCATACTTTGAATCATATTAAAATAATATTAAAATTTACACATTTTGCATTAATAATTTAAAAGTTAATATATTCGATTTTAAATAGTTAAATTTAAATATTTTATTTATAAAAACTATGGATAAAAAAAAAGTAAATCATTTAAATTTTTAAATACAAATATCATCATTTTAAACGGAAATAATTATTTTAAAATTTATTATTTCAAGTTTGTAGTTATTATAGATAACTTTTAAATCAAAATATTTAACAGATACAAGCCATTAAAATGTTGATTCAAATATCTTATAAAATAAATATTTAAAATTAATAAAACATTTTACTTTCTAAATAAATTTTCTTTTTTAAAATGAATTTAAACTGAACGTTGGCAGACTTTGGCTCTGTTTGGTGCAGCTGCAGCTTATTGAAAAATCTGCTGATGAGCTGATTAAAAAGAATTCACCGATAAGCTAGGTGCGGTGACTATCACAAATTTTTATTTTTTTGGAAAAGTCAGACCGCTGCTAGAAAGCTTTCACTGCACCTAGATAGGTGCGATATGAAAATACTGTTTTCAGCATTTTGAAAACACAAACTGTCAAAACGCAGTTTGCCCAAACAAACCTGTTGCGTTTTCAAAACGCCACCTCACCAAACAAGCTGCCCCAAACGGGCCCTTTGTTACATAATTATTGCAAAACGAACCATTTTTATTTATGCAAAAACTTACATAATAAAACAATTTACAATAATATAATATTACCAAATGAGGCCCGAAAATGCAAAAGCTTTGTATTGAAACCAGCATCTAAAATTAATATCCCATGCATCTTACATACTTCAATTCTTATGTATTTACATATATAACAAGTACTTTTATTTTTACATACATACACCTTAGATATGCATCAAAATGTATATTTCAGATTTAAAAGTTAAAATGGTGATGTATTTTTTATGTGACGAAACATTTGAGTGGCATAAATATAAAAGGTAAGATTATAGTGTTGGATATGTAAATTCATAAGAATTAAGCTAAAATGATAATATTATTACAACAACAAGAAGCTTTTATCCCACAAAGTGTGGTCACTGCATGAATCCTTATTCTCCGTTGCATCCTATGGAATATCATATTTTCATTTAATGTTAATAAGTTAAGATTATTGTTTACACAATATGTCCAAGTCTTTTTAGGTCTATCTCTGTCTTTCTCAACATATGTCGTATCTAAAACATCTACTCTCTAACCTGACCATCATATGGCCGACATTTAATGTGACCAAACCAACTAAGATGACTCTCTAAATTTATCCGCATTTTGTCCGCCACAGGAGTTACACCAACCCTATCACAGATACATTCATTTCGCATTGTCTCTAAATGTAAAAACACTCGTCCACCTAAACATTTGTATCTCTGCAACACTTAATTTCATGCTTCTCTTTTAAAGGCCAACATTATGTGTCATAGAACATTGCATGTCTCACCATCATCTTATAAGATTTTCCTTTCAGTCTAAGCAGTACTTTTCTATCACACAATAGAACCGTAGCATTCCTCCACTTCAACCAACCAACTTGAATTCTACTAATAACATCTCATTCTATATCACCATCACTTTGAACAGTAAACCCGAGATAACTAAAACTTTCACACTTTTTAATAATTTGATCGCACGTAGTTACAACTCTGTCGTTAGAGCTACTACTACTAAAATTACATTCAATGTATTCAGTTTTAATTCTACTCAAATGAATGCTTTTAAAATTCAATGTAAACCTCCATAATTCAAGCTTTTCTTGAGCTCTTTCTCTAGTCTTATCCACAAAAAAGAAATCATTGGCGAAAATCATATACCAAAATACAATACTCAAATGAATGCTTTTAAAATTCAATGTAAACCACCATCATTCAAGTTTTTCTTGAGCTCTCTCTCTAGTCTTATCCACAAAAAAGAAATCATTAGCAAAAATCATATACCAAAATACATCCTCCCATAAATGTCTAGTAAAAGCATCCCTAACTAAAGCAAAAGAATATGAGCTTAAATCTGATCCTTGTTGTACTCCAGCTAAAATAGGAAAATAATTGGTCAAACCACCTGTTCGAACACAAATAACAACTCTAATATACATTTATTTAATAAATTTAATATAAGTCATATCAACACCTTTCTTCTCTAAAACTCTGCAAAGGATATCTCTTGAACCATCACATAATTTTAAAATACGACACATCAATTTAATTCTTCTATAATTCGCACACTCTTGTGATAATAAGAATCGACTGATACGTAAATATTTATAATATGATATAAATCTCAAAAGCAAAATTTAGGTGTTAGACATATATATCCATAAGAATTGAGAGGTATGTCTACCAATGCCCCTTAAAATAATAGAAAGATTTACATATATACCACTCAATCCTTATGCATGGTATTATTGCCATTTTTTTAATATATGCAAGATTTAAGTGGAATAAATGCTAAAAAAAATTGAACTTTTAGCAGCTAGACATGTAAACACATAAAAAATGGATGGTATTTATGTAAAAGCCCCAAAACAATATTAATAAAATTTAAAAAGATTTACATTCATACCACTCAATTCCCATGTATTACATATCTAATACCCTAAAGTTCAGTTTTTACATGCATTAAAAAGTGTATTCAACTTCTAAAACTTGGCAATATTTTTGATTTGATACGAAAGACATGGGTGGAAGTGGAGCAAATATAAACAAAGTAAAGTTTAGGTGTTTGATATGTAAATACATAGGAATTGGGTGGTATATATGTAAATTCCCGTAAAATTAAAATAAATAAATACATAAGAGTCATAAAAGTAAATTGTTCTCTTTAGTTAGCAGCCAATTCATAGCAACTACAAATCAAGATATCTGGGATTACTCCCCCTTTGTTCTAATAAACATGGCTTTAAGATCTAGAGACAAAAATGAACAATCTCCTTACCTTATGTACACCGCCGAGTCGTCCATTTCTCGTCGATGAATCTAAGATAAATAACATTGCACTCGAACCGACGAATTTGTACATGAAAAACTTACCTACCCTGCGAACAATCCGAGAGATAGAAGGAACCAAATATGGAAGAAATGGGGTCGAGGCCAGCTGAGTCTTCATGATCAACGGTACTGAACGAGTTTCGGGTGCTCTCGGTGGTGAACGATGATTCATCAGAGCTTGTGAAGAGAGACCAATCACTCGATGTTGGGTCGGAGAAGTCTGTGCCGATCGTGTCGGCGTACGTTTCATGGGTGGGAAGGAAACTCCGCATTACGCGGCCGCTTCGATATTCAGGACGCAGGTTCTTTTCGGCGTTCACTGAGTTGGGGAGCGGAGGGCGAGTTTCGCTTTCAATGGGTTGTTCGTGTCGTAAAGATTTGAGAAGTTTGGGTGAGCTGTGCTTTAGAGATGGGGGCTGTAATAGAGATCTGTTGATACAGATGCTTGGAGGACGGGGGACTGACCTGAAGAATAACATTGGAGGAACATCAGTAACTCTTTTTTTTTTTCATTTTGGGCCATTTACATACATTTCTCATAATATCTCAAACCTAAACTTTCATATTTACACACATCGCACTCAAATCTTTAGTATTATATACATAAGAATTGTTTGCTAAGTATGTAAATTTTCCTTTTAATTTTTTTATATTTTGAATATTTATATACATAACACTCAATTCCTATGTATTCACATATCTAACACCAAAACTTCAATTTTTACACGCCACTTCACCTGTGCATGAAAAGATGTATTTCATCCTCTAAAAGTCAAAATAGTGGTATTTTTTATGTGATATGAAAGATTTGGGTGTTAGATATGCAAATACATAGGATGTGGGAGGTATGTAAGTAAATGCCCCCCATTTTTTTTATAAGCTTCTCAAATAAGTTTGTCAATGAATTGTCATGTTTTATCCTGATGTAGTGTTTGGAGATTTTACCTGGAGTAAAATAGCATATATGCGCCTTCAGACATTACCTGACTCTGTGGCACAGCCTGCACCTGTAACAGTATGAACACATGTCAAGATGCAGCTCTCAGACACAGCACACAGAAGAGAGAAGAATATATATATATATATATATATATGAAAATTTACATAGAAACCACATAATTCTATGCATTCATATGTAGAATATCTGAACTTTTGATTTTTACATTTATCACACATGGTACGTTAGAAGATATATTTCACTTTTAAAAAGTTGGTAACAATGGTATTTCTGACGTGATATTAAGGATTTAAATATTATAAATGTAAAAATCAAAATTTTAATGTATCTATTTGTGTGGTATGCATGTAAATGCCTCGTACCTATATATTTGTCAGACAGATGAACTTGACGACTGTCCATGCGTCCAATATTACATGGTGATAAATATTAAAAGAAGCATTTGCATTCCACCATCCAATTCCTATTTTTTACATATCTAACACCTAAACTTCGATTTTTAAATTTAAGTACCCAAATCTTTCATAGGACGTTAAAATACAACCCACCATTTTAACTTTAAGAAGGTGAAATAAGTCTTTTTCATGCATATGGAAAGTGGTATGTACATAAAAATTGAAGTTTAGATGTCAGGTGTGTAAATAACATAAGAATTGTGTCGTACGTATAAATGCATACCACACAATTCTTATTTATTTACATATCTACCGCCTAAACTCTGATTTTTTACATTTATACCACCCAAAGACTTAATATCACAACAAAAATACCACAATTTTAACTTTTAAAAAGCGAAATTTACCCTTTTTCACGCATAGGGAAGATGGAATGGTATGTATGTAAAAATTGAAGTTCAGGTGACAGATATGTAAATCCAAAAGAATTGTGTCGTATGTATGTCTATCTTCCTAAAATTTGATGAACATTACATACCTCAGAGTCATCAATTCGAAACCATGTTCCTTGAATGTCTTTGACATAGGATACATAATGACCAGAGAAGGATGTATTCAAGGTGTCCAGATGAACAACGACAGCATATAGGAAGTAAAGAGGAGGGCTATCAGCAGTTCCAGTTACAAATGGAATCATGTCCAATAAGTCTGGAAATGTAACACATTTATTGATTTTTCCATATTTCCCTGTCTAATAAAGCAAAAAATATCAGTTGATATGAGAAATGCTGAGGCATCCATAACTTGAAAAAGGGCGAAAATTTTCAAATTTTTGCGAAATTGAAATTTAAAATTGCAAATGATATTGGGGTTGGGGAAAAAATCATTGGATTGCAGTTTTAATTGCTTCACATTTTCTTGCCACAGTATGACTGCAATATTTGAATTGTTTATACTGATAAGATTGGTGAAAAAATACAATCCACTAAACTTTGCTTTTACACTTACACCAACAAAATCTTTAATAGCACATTAAAAATACCATTATTTTAACTTTTAAAAAGAGAAACACACCTTTTCATGCTTAGGTAATGCGGCATATATGTAAAAATTGAAGTTTTGGTGTTAAATATGTAAATACATAGCAATTGAGTGGTGTGTATGTAGATCTTCCAAACTTAATTTGGATGGGTTGCATAAAATGCATCCAATTGAATTGCAAATGCAAACAAAAAGAGAGTTTGTTGAACATCAGCAAATGCAAACAGAAAGAGGGCATTTTCAATCAGTTAAATCTCAAGTACTGAAAGACCTACAAGTGATAGTGGCACTGTTGACCGTAACAAAAAAGAAAAAGAAAGGAAAAAAAAAGGAGAAAAAATTATATTAATTAAAATTGATTAACTAACTTAAATCTTTATCTAATCCCTCCAAAAGCTCCTGCTCGATGAATAACTGTTCCCGCTCCTTCCGATTACCAAGGAAAGAACTACACGACAGGCACACTAATACGCACAATTGGCCGTCTCATTCATCTGTCGTCCCCTCTCACTGTCTACCCTCTCCCCTTTATTCTGTTCACTTGAAACTGAAACAAAGCGATTTCTGCCTCGCAACAAAACACCCGAAGTCCTCCGCCAACATCGTTCTCTTCCTCTATCGTATATTTAAAGGCCCGATGCGTCGTTTAAGATCGCGGGTTAAATTTATACTTTCGCTGCCCGGCCGTAGTGTCTCACAACACTGACCAGCTCGCCTTTTAAGACAACTGGGAAGACTGATATTCTCCCGTGCCCCCAAACGGGGGTTGACACTGGGAAGCTGCCACAATTTTGAATGATTTGGACTTTGTAACCACTTTAACCCTGAATTTTCAAACTAACAAAATGAATCATTTGAATTTTAAGATAAGTTGAAAATTTTGAAAATGTTAAAACTTTGAGGCCCCTTAGGCTTAAAAGTATTCAAAATTTGAAAGTTTTAAAATTTAAGGCTCTTAAGGCTTTTAAAGATAATATTAATTTTTTGGGGCTTTCTCAAACTAGAAATTCTAAAGTTTAAAATCGAATTCAATGATAACTTTTAAATTTAAGTCACGATTGTTAAATTAACCCAAAGTTTAGCTTTCAAAATTAAGAGCTTAGGGTTTACAATTAATCAAAAAAAATTTGGAATTTTCAAATCTAAAAGCTTAGGTTGAGTCATTTGAATTGACCCAAATATTAAATATTTGGGCTTTCAAAAATAGCTCAATACATTTGGGGCTCAAAAATAGCTCAATACATTTGGGGCTTAGCCTAATTTAAAATTGAAGTACCAAAATCCACAAAACTAAGCGTAAATTGAAATTTAAATATGTTGAATTGAAGAGCTCAGTTTGATTTGAAAAAACCTAGCAATCTAATTCACAACACTCCTGCTAGCGAACATAAGACGATCCATTTAAAGCCCAAAATCATAATATTTCTTCAAATATTCGAAGTTCTAAATAATAAGAAATGTTCAAACCTAAACTTCAAGGCTAGTATGAAATTTGTGCAAGTGCTTTTGAGACATATGAATAACAATTTCACTACGCTCAAGCTATAAATAGTTTAAGATATTCATGAGCTAACTATGCATAATCTCAAGGCTTTGTATTAAAGATTATCTAAAAAATTAAAAATTAAAAAGTCTACATGTGCTCCAACCATTGTATTGAATATTCAAATATTAGGTTCAAGAATGATGCGCGGGCTAATCGGGTTGTTTTGCCTATAGGATAGGGTTGAAGTCCCATTTAAATAGTCTTGTCCTCCTCCTCACAAGGACTAGAGTTGTTGAAGAGTTTAGTAACATCGAAATAAACGTCCTGATCATAAAATAAAAACTTACAAGTCCAAATCACCTAGTCTGATATTTCTCCTTAAAAAGACGGGAGTCGACAAAACTCATACCCTAAAAGTAAAGGCCCCCCTTTTTAAATATAACTCATACCCTAAAAGTCTAAACAGTCAATAGAGTTGTGAGAGTTAGACATCAGCTACCTACCCAACCAAAACATCAAATCGCAAGTACTTACTGACTTTGTGGTGAAGTGCATAGTGCCTGTTTCTGACGAGTAGCCTCTTTTTCCCCCACTGTCACCTCAGTTAACATTGTATGTGGATGGAGTGCTCGGAAACTTTGGAGATTGTCATTTCCCCAAAGCAAGAAATCCTATAATACAAACTCCGCCTAAAAGTTATCGTCTGCACCGACTCCCAACTCATCACATCCCAAATATAGGGAGAACTTGATGCCCATAACACACAGCTAGTGCAATATCTTAGCTTAGTAAAGGCGCTCCTCCCCAGATTGAAACGTACCAGACAGTTGCATACTTCCAGAGAAGAACAACCAAGTTGATGCACTCTCTAAGCTCGCGACCTCGACAACTGGATATCTCTTCAAAAAAAGGTGCATCGAAGAGAAACACTTTCCTAGCATCCAAAGCCCGCGGGCAATGAACGAGCCATCTTGGATGTACCCTATGATCTCCTTCCTCTGAGACGGGATGATGCTCGATGATTCTACTGTGCAAGTACCTCCGATGCATGGTCGCCAACTTCATCCTTATCGGGGACGAGCTATATAAGAAGACATTTGTCTGTTCATACCCCAAGTGTCTTCTCCCATTTGAAGTTCATTACGCTCTGTGCGATGTTCATTTTGGGAAATGAGGGCAACATTCACTGCAGTTTTGAAAGGTTGTTTACACCAACGTTCCGTGCACGATTGTAGTGAGTAAATTTTGTTGCATCTCATTCAGACATCAAGTCTATAACAACTTCTTTCAGGCTGAGGGCAACCTTCATTGTGACCTCGAAAAATCGATCACGTTATACATGACCGTGGTGGGATAGTCATCCCACGTTTCATTTGGACATCGGTTGGGGTGTTTGGAAAGGGGGGGGGTAACACTTTCTCAATTCCCCCTACCATACTGGAGTTCTTCCTCAACCGTATCAAGAAGCTGATATCTTCAAGATTCAATACATAGGTAGCTTTATAAGATCGTGTGGAAAACACACTCACCAGGGGACAATAAATTCAAAAGAAACAACTAGCAAATTATAAAGTATCATTCTTGAGTATGGCCGCAACCATAATTCTAAGAAAAAATAGGGTCTATTACAACCTATGCCCAGTCTCGAGAGACACAAAGCACCTTTGACACCTCATTCTAAGCTTAATCGAGATCCCGCGAGGAGGGGGGGTGGGGGCTCGATTTGACATCTTCTATCGCAAGCAACAATCATCAAAAACTTCAACTAACAGTCTCAAATAAGTCAAAAATCCTTAGTGAATTTCCTTCAATCTCTTCCATAATAAGTTATGGTCATCAAGCAGAAGCTTGGACTAACAAACTCGTATAGATAGGTCAACCATCTTTGGTGGATTTCATAACTATTCATCACAGGCTAGTGTCGTCGAGAAGATGCTTCGGTCATGCAACCTTAGAACGGGTCTTACAATCTTAATGAATTCTCGTTTCGACTTTACTCCAACACAGGCTACGGTAATCGAGCGGGCACGCTTCGACTAAGCAACCTAGAAACATTCAAACATTCTTAACAACACCCTAAAAGGGAGGAAAAAACATCCCATAAGAGGGGCAACGACAATTCAGAAGGAAAGACAAGTAGCCACAAAAACAACGTCAAAATGTTTATTGCGTTTACCATGTTAAATACGTACAAACAAACACATTTTTACTGTGTATAAATGTTATATCAGACGATTAAAATTCTACAAAGCCCAACATACCTTGTATAAAAGCAACAAATCGGTACATCTTCAAATGGTGTGTGCATTGCCTCTTAAGAATTTGGGTACTTCAGCCAATTACAAGAAGATGATCTCCATAAATCACCTCAGCAATGCAGAAAAGAAGATCCTGGATTTCCTGCTGGGGGGATCCTGGATTTCCTACTGGGGGACAGCTTTCTTTTTCAAAGGAGTGCGAAAGAAGATTGTGAAAGAAGATCGCGTTGATCGCCTGTTACGCAGCCTGATGATAACTTTCTTCTACACAACGATATAAAAGAAGATCTCGTTGATCACCTACAACGCAGAACGGGGACAAATTTCTTATTCACACAACACGAAAGAAGATCTCATTCATTGCCTGCTACGCAAATGGATGATGAATTTCTTTAAGAAATTTTCGTTGATCACCTACTAGCAAATTGTTGGGGGGAGGGGGAGGGGGGACTCAACTTCCACCCATTCCTTAGCTATTTATAGGCTCAAAAACCACCCACAATTATGACCAAAAAACAATTTCAGGCATTAAAATAAATGAATCTTACAATCCATTTAAAAACAATGCACGCCACATAGTTCCTATGCTTTTACTATTTATGGTGTTTAATATATATATATATATAAACAAAAAATATTTGAATATTTACATTCACACCACATAATTCTTACCAGACTATACGTCTGACACTGGCAGACAGTGTTTCGGAGTTCAATATTTTCGGATGAAGAAATCAATCTCGACCGAAAATAAGGGACAACTAATATAACATCACTTTCTAACATTCAAAACGAATCTCGAGGCAATTTTTGAGCAAAAAATATTTAAAATTTCACTAAGAGTCATCCAAAATTGTGATTTCAGCAAACATACAATCAAACTAACTGACACGACAAACGACCCCAATGGTATCAAAATTGGTCCAATCTGAGCCCAATCAAGCCACGATCAAGCCATTAAACAACTTTTGAAGCTTTTCAGGCATATTTAGAAGATCAAACAGACCATCCGATTGAGGAAATCTCTCTAGGTCGTTCAATCAAAGTGATTCAGATTTCTTTATTAATTGTAACTGAAACTCTATAAATAGTATCATACCTCCTCTTGAGAAGGGACTTGGATCTTGAAAATTAGACAAGGAACAGAAGTCCAAATTCACTTCTGCACTGACGATCCGGCGAATAGTTGCTCCTACAGCAACAAATTACTGTCAACCACTCGTCATCAAGTATTGTCGATCACCATCAACCACTGCCCACTTCTTGCGATGAAGCCCTAACTATTGGGCATCACACCGACCCCAAAGATGGCGCACTAAAGCCCTAACTATTTATGCAATCATCCCTACTTTGGGGCGAAAAATAGATCCACGCACCGAGGTTGTAGCTCGGGAGGCTATGTAACCTTTCTCGCCCGTAGGACAAGGGATTATATCAATAATCATTAATTTATAATGAATCTCTTCAACTAAGCCAGGTCTAATGGTTTTTCCCTTTCCGGGTTTTTCACAAACATCTTCTGATGTTTATGTCAATCATTATTTATTATCTGAGTGTGTGAAGGGTTCTCGTGCAATGCTAAAATGTTAATTAATCACTCTGCCACTGCAAATTCTCTTCCACACATAAAAATAATTGTAAAAATTTAAATACAAAAAGGAAGAAAATAAAATCCTAAAAAGAATCTTAAGCATAATAAATTATCTAGAATAATCATAACACATATCTTGTATTGCATCATTCAAATTATTCTAAGTTTTGCAAATTATGATTGCCACTTTCAACTATTCATCATAAATTTGGTTCGGTTTGTATCAAGACTTAAATGAAACCAATTGAGTTGTTGAAGGAAGTTAACCTTAGCAATACATGAATAGAAACAATAAAAAATTTAAAACATATGACTAAAAGATAATACAAATTAATTGAACTCAAAAAATTCCATAAACTTCATCATATTTTGTCGTTCTCTAAAATACATTTCATACAAGGCAAGAAAAAATCAATAAAATTGGTGAGTAAAATTACGAATGCAAACTTAAATTTCACGAACAATGTCAAATTGTTACCTGAAATCTCTTGAGGACAATCGTTAAGATATTGGGTACCTCATGCAAACTCAGCTGTTTTCTTGCCCTAACATATGCAGAACACCTAAAATGGTTTGCAGAGTTTAAAAAATGGCTTATAAAAACTCATACAAAAAGGAGAAGTATTATGCCAAACCTGCCACATCTATACATGTTTTCTCCATCTAAATCTTCCGGGGCGGTAAACTGTGTGAGGGCATCCTCCAATGACTCAACCCAACCATAGATCTCCAGAGTAAGATCCATGATATTTTCGTATCGTTCGGACTCATGATGACATCTCAGGCACTTAACCTAATTCAAGTACTTGAAGAAGTTAGTTAAACTTTTAAAAAGAAAAAGAAAAAACTGAAAAATATAAGGGGCTGTTAGGTAACTCATTTAAGTGGGATTTAACTTAAATTTTTAAATCCAGCATTCCATAAATCTGGTTTCTTTGCAGAATTCTTCTCAATTTTGCCTTCAATTCTGGATTTATTAAATCATGTGGTCGGTAGGATTTAGTAAATCTAAATCTAAATTTAAATGATTTACTAAAGCAGCTAAAACCGTTACTAGTCAGTTCCTAAAGTTAACTAATGTCAACAATATAGGTCAAGGGATAGAAACATTGCCTTAGATTTAAGGCGGCCGCCAAAAATCTGTTGTACAAGAGTAGTTTCTTGCAATCCAGGATCAACCTTCTCCTCACCACCTAGATCCCAAAGGCAAACAGCTTGCATGGACATAACTAAAAGCCTGGTGCATGCTAACAATGATTTTTTCAGTAACTCTAGTTTCATATGAAAAGAAACTGCAGATTGTTAAGAAAAACATCATAACATTTTAAAATAGTAAAATTTACATACTTAGCACACAATTCGTATGTATTTACATATTTCAAACCTAAACTTTCATCTACATACATAGCACTTTAGTGCTTTAAGCCTAAGCCTAAAAACCTGTATTTCTCTTTTAAAATGTGGTAATAGTGCTCTTCTTAATGTGAAATTAAAGATTTGAGTGCTATGTGCGTAAATATGATAGTTAAGGTGTGAGATATATAAATAAATAAGAGCTGTGTCTATGTATGTAAATGCCCCTAAAATCTTAATCTTCCATACCTTAGAAACTCGTGAGCATCTTCCTGGTTTCCACCACCCATTCGACAACCAACACTCATATTTAAAAGAATTTTACTTGGAGAAAGAGGGCCACCTCCTTCGAGTAGCTCTGCGATGTGTTGCTCGAGTTCGCACATCAAGCACCAGTCTCTTATTTGACCTGAAAAACACGAAGCATCCAAGGTTGTAATTATGCACCCTGTCCATATATAAATTGGTACGAGATTGAGTGGGACAGTTTAAAATTACAGGTTCTTGAGTGAGATCTATGAAGTAAGTAGACCATTATAGGCTTTGTGAAGGTCAGACACTGCAAGACAGCATTGGCATAGCAACTGCAAGAGAAGGGTTATTAAATAGATGAATGATAATTTAAGAAGAAACTTACTCACATGAGTGAGATAAACATGACAGCAAGTTCATCAATTTAAAGTGTTTTGTATCTTATGTTCTTGAAAAATATTCAGGAAAAAAAAAATTATTTAAATATTAATCGAGAGAACTGTCAAAGTAATCCCTTGACTCTTTGTAGAATATCATTTTAGTCGCAAAGCCTATAAAAGTATCAATTTAGTCCCTAAACTCCTTTAATATGGGTTGGGGCTATTTCAAACTATTTAAAAAGTCAGGAGATTAAAAATAATTTGATGCTTTTATGGACTTTCTTGGGAAACTTGGTCTTCTAAAACGAAAAGTTATAGCTAAATGAAACTTTAAAGACTCGAAGTGCAAAAGTAAAAAACAGTTCCCATATTTAGTTAAGAACTGAAAAGAACAAAGGTTTCATCTATACATTTTATTTTTGGGCCATTTAATTCGTATGTATTTACAAATCTAACACCTAAACTTCGATGTATACATTTATACCACCCAAATCCTTCACATGACACCAAAATTACCACCATTTTAACTTTTAAAATGTGAAACAAACCATGTCATGCATAGGTAAGGTTGTATGTAAATTGAAGTTTGGGTGTTAGATATGCAAATACATAGGAGTTGAGTGGTATGTATGAAAATCTTCTTTTATTTTTATGAAAAACTTTCTTCTAACTCGAGAGTAACAATAATTGGTTCTGATAAAAATGCCTAGATCATTTCATACATCTTCGCTTACAAATAAAAGTTCGGAATGTGACAGAGAAAATAAACGTATCAAGGGCTCTTGAAGGACTTTTGCATCAGAAGGTCAAGACAAATGATCAAAATAAAAAGATGCTAAAACAGAGATTTGAGACATTTGTTTGCATAACAAAATAATGCTCAAACCCTATTTATACAAAAGATTTGGTCCTCCTCAATTTCGATAAAATAATATTATACTTCGATCATTTATCTTGCATTCCTGATGCAAAAATGCATCAGAAAAGAAAATGTTTCAATTTCACCCTAGCCAAAGCAAACCAATTCATTCACATGACCTGTATCCTTCCATTAATTATAGGGAAATTTACATGCATACCACAAAATTATGTTGTATTTACATATCTAACACCTAAATACTTCGGTGCCATGAACACGTATGCATGAAAAAGTGTACTCTACTTTCAAAAAGCTAATAGTGGTATTTTCTAGGTGATATCAATGATTAGAGAGTTATGTATGTAAATATGAAGGTTTAATACTGGAGTTAATCCAATCGAAAATTGGAAAACAAATACTATTGATGAATTAAAAAGGGCTACAAGCAAAAACACTTAAAAACAGAAACAAAACCACACAACACGCAAGTGACAACCTGTGATAAGGACGAAAGTGGTGGGCTGCGGGTTGAGGTGGTGGAATTGGGGAGTTGTAGGTATAGGGTGAGGGCTGGCAGTAGCAAGAAGGATGTAGTTGTGCGGCTGCACAAAAGGTAGGGCCGTGGGGCAGGGGCGGCAGCAGGTCTGGAGGAAAAAGGGAGGGCAGCAGCAGCTGCTACGGAGTGCAGGCTGGGCATCAGCAAGCAGAGGAGGGACGAAAGGAATGCTGGCTGCGAGCAAGTGGGTGGAAGAAATGGGAAAAATATGTGGAGATAGTCACCACTTGCCCTCGAATAAAGCACAAAAAGGGAGAACTTGAAATTTCAACGACCGTCTCTACAAAAAACTCAATAAAAATTGAACCCTAATGACAATAACACAATACAACACACGCACACGCACGAGCACGTGCACACACACACACACAAACACATATATATATAAAGGCAAAATTCAATGATAAAAAAGAGATGATACAAAGGTTTTAGCGAGTGGGGTATAAAGAGCTCAGTCACAGGGATTACAATCATATTCCCCAAAAAATAAAACAAAAAGAAAGAACTCCTAATCATGGTGGGTTTAGTCGGTGGATCTACCGCTTCCCCTTTCCCTGGATCTAGGGAGGAAGTCCAGCAACATACTGAGATGCGGGCTTTCGCATGAAACAATGATACAATCATACTGAGAGTTACTGAGATCTGACATTCATTTCTTCTTCTTCTTAGATTTGTAAATCTGTTAATCATCTGCCAGAGGTAGTCCCGTGTGAACAATATGTGGATCTTCGATGGAGGTAAACTGTTGATCTAACTCAGCCTGCAGGACACCTCCATAACTTGAGTACCCTCTTCTCTCGCAATAGGTGGTTCCAAGATACTTCGGCTAGCATCTGCTACAACAAAATTCGTAGGAAGAGCTGCCTCAAAAACAGTAAGCGGAAGGTGCTGGTCTAGTTGGTGAGTAGCCTTGTGAGTCAAATTCTCAATCAACATTTCCGAAAGATTAACAGTGTCTGCTATATTTTCCTCCACATGGATGATGCTGTTAGGACATGCCAATCTCAAATGTGGGTGAAGCCTGAAGCATTTGACAGAGGTGTGCCCAAACAATTTAGAGTAATTGCAGCAGTAGGGTCTTTGTTATGTTATAATTGGTTGTCAATACCCATTATGGGCAGTACCAAACCATATTTCGTCCACATCAGAGAGGGTAATATCCCTTTCAACAAAAATTTTTGCAACCGAAGGCCTGGTTAGAATGAAGGTGGGTGTATCCAATTTCATAGGTCTCCCTAGTGCAGCTCCAATAAAGTAGAGGACTTGGTGGTTGAAGTTATACAACTTTAGGCCAGGTAGTTTAAACCATATTGAAACTATAGGTAGTTCTTGACTAGGGTCAAATTCAGGAAACCACTTAAGCAGTTTCATATATTTTCCCTCTATTATCATGAACTTTTTGGAAAATATTTTGGCATAGTCTTCCACTTTAGATAATTGTATCATCACATGTCTCCCATAAAAAAAGCCAACCTTCTGAGGTCCCAATAGTTTGAGTTATACAAAAGCCTTTCAAATGATTTTCATCTTGGGATGTCCTGATTGGAACATCCCAATGAGGGTGAATTTGAACTTGTTAACCAGGTTGGAAACTTCAACATCAGAGAAGAATAGAGTCATTTTGCCACTCTTCCTACCCATCTTCTTAATAAGGTTGCAGTCTTCCTGAGCTTCGAATGATTCATGGTAAACATGAGGAAAAACCTGATCTTACCTCATAGAGCCAACCATATCAACAAAAGAAACGTTCCCAAAGTTTAAAACTGTAGTAGTCGGTGGTTGAGAAGGAGCAGTGGCCATGGAAGAGAGCAGTTAAACAGCGACAAGCAGCGACAAGCTCCTCCTGGGTTTGAGTCGTGACTTCAACCGGAGCTCTTTGCTGCTCGATAGGTCGAGCAGGGATCAAGCGGCACGTCACAGGAAGGATCGCGACACTATGCATATTGCAGTTCCGCCGGTACCTTCCCAATGAGCTCATGAGACGATCAAGAAAATGACGCGATCGAACGATACCGAAGAGCGAAGCGAACGAGGGAGAGGCTGGGGCACTGCGACGCGATCCCCCACCCTTCTTCTTCAAACAGGAGTCTACGAACCGCTGCGGCTACCCTCATCGCCACGGAGTCGCGACTGGAGGAGTAAACCCAAGCAGGAAAGGTGTCGTCGTGTGTGTGTGTGTGTGTGTAGATAGATAAATACACATATACATACATAACTAGGAGGAGACCCCTCCTCTTGGGCGGCAATACTAACCAAAACATATTGGCAGACCCGCTTTCTCCTTCACTTGGTTGAACCGGTTTTGTTCGGTCCGACCGAAGCAGGAAACAGTCGTAACACTATCTGCCCTCGGATAAAGCCCTAGAAGGGAGAACTTGAGATGTCGACAACCGTCCCTACAAAAACTCAACAAAAATTGAACCCTAAATGACAAAAACACAACATTATATATATATATATATACCCAAACATATTGGCTGGCCCGCCCTCTCCTCTTGTCTGAACCGGTTTGGTTGTGCACAACCAGAGCAGGATACAGTTATAGAACCACCTGCCCTTGGATAAAGCCCTAAAAGGGAGAACTTGAGATGTCGACAACTGTCCTTCCAGAAAACTCAACAAAATATATGATTAGATAACTAGGAGGGGGAGGCTCCTCTTGGGCGGCAACACTAGCCCAAACATATTGGTTGGTCAGTCAGCCCTCTCCTTCTTGGCTAAACAAGTTTGCTTGGGTACAACCGGCTCATCCCTCCCCACCCAACTCAAGCGAGCCCCGCCAATTGATACCGGAGTTAACCCAAACGACAATCAAAAAACAAATTATTGCTAAATTCAAAAGGAATACAAGCAAAGACTCTTGAAAACAGAAACCAAATGACACAAAACACAAGTGACTCTCTAGGACGAGGATGAAAGTGGTGGGTTGCAGGTTGAAGTGATAGAATTAGAGAGTTGAAGATGAGGGGAGTGAGCTGGTGGTAGCAAGAAGAATGTAGGTGTGTGGCTAGGCTGTGGGGAGGGAAAGCAACATTTCTGGAGGAAAAGGGGAAGGCGGAAGCAGCTATTACGGAGCGCAGCCTGGGCGTCACTAAATAGGGGAGAGACGCAAAACTGTTGGCAAAGAGCATGCGTGTGCCAGAAGGATGGCAGCAAGCAGGTGGGTGGAAGAAGCGAAGAAATATGCAGAGATGGTCACCACATTGGAGCAGAATACAGTCGGAGCACCACCTGTCCTCGGATATAGCCCTAGAAGGAAGAACTTGAAACGTTGACAGCTATCCCTAAAGAAAACACAATAAAAACTGAACCCTAATGACAATAATTGATACCGGAGTTAACCCAAATCACAATAAAACATAGAAATACTATTGTTGACATTCAACGGATACAACAAAGGCTCGTCCCAACATAAAAGGAATGACAAACAAACACAAACTAGAGCAAGGATTGGAGTAGTGGTGATGCAGCAGCAGGTGTGGTGGCGGGAAGGGTCGTTCCAATAACTATGGGTGCTGTGAAAGCTAAAGGCAGCAGGAACAACAAAGGAGGGGGTCGCCCCAAATAACAGCGGTGCTGGGAGAGGAGTTACGCAGTTGTTTGTGTATTTGAAATGGCTTACGGCGTTGGCTAGGTAGGAGAGAAAGGATTATGGGATGGACTGCAGGGTGGAGAGGGGTTAACAGGATGGCTGGGGCAGTGGAGAAGGGTTAGGAAATGTGCTGCAGGGCAGAGATGTGTTAACGGGATGGCTGTGGAGTGAAGAAAGATTACTGTCAGTAAAAGGAGAGGAAGAAAAGGGCGGCGGCTGCAGCTAGGCAGCAATAAGGTAAGGTTTGGGAGGGAGGTTTGCAGAAGACAGCAGAACTGCTGTCCTTGGCGGACTGCAACTAGTTTGGCGGCGGCGACAGCGAGAGAGATGGTGTGGAGAAGGGGGAACGTCGAGAACAACCTCCACCTCCTTGGCGGGCTGCAAATAGTATGGCGGCGGCGACAGCAAAAGGGATGGTGCGGAGAAGGGGGAACATTGAGAACAACCTCCACCTCAATGGGAGATATAGCTGAAGCAACAATAGTTCTCAGATATAGCCCTGGAAATGGAAAAGAGAACGCTCATGACTGCCCTTGACAGAAATTTAAAATCAACCTCACAAAACATAACCCTTATTTAACAAACACACAAATAAATAAAAATGGAATAGGGGGGAACTAAAAAGGAAAGAAAGTAAAGGGGGAAAAGCACTGGGGGCAATTTTCAGCCCCTTAAGAGGTTGATCGGTCCAACAAGAGACTGGACCGAGACAGAAGCTGGCCGATTCAGCCAGCCCTTCCTGTAGCCAGTTCAGCTGGCTTCCCTAACCAGCCCAGTGTCAATAACATAACATATATGAGTGGGCCGTCCGGCTCTTCCCTTCTCTTGGTTGAACCGGTTAGATAGATAAACACATAAGAATTTTGTGGTATTTATGTAAATGTCCCTTTATTATAATATTGATAAAAACTAATAATTCACCAAAGATATTTACTGACACGCCATTCCTGTCGAGGTAGAATTGAACTTAGTAACAGATTATGAGCTCAAAAACAAATCCATATCCAACGCTATAAAAAAATATCCAAAATCAATTTCAGATTGGTTAGAGGCTCCCAGGAGAAAAACCACAAAAAGATTAAAGGCTTAAAAACTACAAAAATAAAGCACAACACAGCTTGTACCTGTTTCCACAATTAAGAAGCCCCCTTGGCGATATGCCCAACAGCTCGCATTGGAAAAGCTTCACGACGTCTTCATAAGGAAAAAGCAACTAAACAATATAGATACAATCCCAGTAAATAAGTTAATAAGGATCTAATAATCCTACAAAATATGATTGAGTTGAATAAACCTTGTTTCTTTTATAACCATTGATCAACCCAACAAGACGACCATTCGAAATTTTGGAAGAACTTCTTGATGTTTCAGCCATCATCTCTTTCATATTCGTTATTCCATTGGAACTCCGTTCAGGGCTGCTTGTGAGAACAGCGGGCAGAATTTCTATAGTAACATAAAAAAAATTTAAGAAAGCAATGAATAAAATACAGGAAGATTTACATGCATATCACTCAATTCCTATGTATTTATATATCCAACATGCAAACAGCAATTTTACATACATAGCACCTTAGCTATGCACGAAAATGTATATTTCAATTTTTTAAAGTTAATATGGTGGTATTTTTTATGTGATGTGATAGATTTGGGTGATATAAATGTAAAAAAGCGAACTTTATATGTTAGGTATGTAAATACATAGAAATTGGGTGGAATGCATATAACTGCCCCGAAAATGCATTATGACAGTTGTAAGAAAGGTATATAGAACATACTCGATTCATTATCGACGAAACATTTCCTTATTGTATGAGATTGGCATTGTCTTGGTGCTCTTGCTGCGGATTTATCAGGATCCAAAATATATGGGGGTTTTTTATAAATCAAGTTTTCTTTAACAGAGTTCTCTTCAGCTGAGGACCTCAAGCATGGTGTTACAAATGATGATGAAATTCTATCTTCATGATCAATATTACCCGAAATAAAACTCTCTGCCGTTTCGCCTCCATTTGTCCCATTTTCATAGGAAGTAGTGGGGTTTCTTTGTTTAAATGAGCCATTTGCCACTCCTGTTGATTTCTGGGACAAACACGCAAAAATGAAGCATCAAAATTCATCATTGCTTCATAAAAATCACAGAAGATAGAAAAAAAAAGGTTAATTTACATGCATGCTACACATTTCTTATGTATTTAGAAACCTTACACCTAAACTTTCATGTTCACACATACATAACACTTTAATCGTTAATATGACAACAAAAATACCAGCCCTGCTAACTTTTAAAAGTGAAGTATGCCTTTTATGCATAAGTTTATGACACCAAACTGATGCAAATGTAAGTAAGGGAAAGTTACATACGTAGCACACAATTCTTATGTATGTACAAATCCACACCTAAACTTTCACATTTACATAACACTTTGGTGCTATAAACCTACGCATGAAAAATGGATTTCACTATAAAAATGCAGCAATAGTACTGTATTTGAAGTGATGTTAAGGATTTGAGTGCTATGTGTGTAAAGATTAAAGTTTAGATGTGAGAATCTGAGATATGTAAATATATAAGAATTGTGTACCATGTATGTGAATGCCCCTAAATGTAAATATCAAACTTTAAGTGTTAGATACGTGAATACAAAGGACTCTGCAGTATGTACGTAAATTTCCCCTAAAAATACCAACCTCAACTTCAAACAAAGCATTCTGATGTGAAGTGTTTGTGGAGCTCCCACCAACCAATCGAGCATCAGTGCAAGTGGTATTTGTGCCAACAACAATGCTTGCATCATCGCTTAATAGTTCTCTTTTCGGTTTACCTCGAACTCTCTTGCTATTATCTGATGAATTTCTTTCCCCATTCGAACTAATAGATGCATCCATTCTCCAATGGGAAGAAGCTTCATCTGGAAAATCAGAACGAAGATTGCTGAGCTGAGATTCTTTGGTATTATTTCCAATAAAATCTCGTGATCCGTCTATCGTAGATCCTCGACGGATCGATTTGGCGATAGAATCGAGACTAGCAGAAAAATTCAGAGCATCATTTTTCCATTGCTGGCATTCTTGCTTATGTGCCTGCCTCCAGTGTACTATTTGGCATTTCCCGGAACTGCAATAACATGATAAATATAATTTATGAAGATAATGAAAATTTTTATGAAGATATACATACATACCACTCAATTTTTATGTATTTACATATCTAACACCTAATCTTCAATTTTTTACACACACATGTATATATCACCTTATCCATGCATGAAAAAATGTATTTCACATTTTAGAACTTAAAATAGAAGTATTTTTTATGTGATATGAAAGATTTTGGTGGTATAAGTGTAAGAAAGTAAAGTTTAGATGTTAGATATGTAAACATAAAGGAATTGAGTGGTATGTATAAAAATGCCCCAAACTTCCAAATTATGCCTGATAAGCAGCTCAAAAGGGAGAATGATGTAAAAAGCCGCCTTCCACAAACTTTACAGAATTATGCTAATCATAATTGTTAAAAAAAAGGGAAAAAGTAAAACAAATGACAATTAGAATTCTAAGTTTGAGGTTTTGATGTTGTCAAGTTGTGCACCATCCAAATGTTTCAGTAGGCGGTACGAGAAAGCTCAAATATATTCCTCACCAGACTTAGATTGAAAAATACTAAAGGAGAGGGAATATTTTCTCTCTTTTTTTTCTTTTTTTTTTTGGTCAGAATAAGACTGCCTCTACTTTTTGTTATCCTTTTCTATGGAACTCCATCTTTCTATGTTTTTGAAATCCTCTCATCTTTCATGGAAACTTGCAGGCATAAATTTCTTTGCATCCAAACCAAAAGTAAAGGGAAGTAAATGAAATGAAATTTCATAAGTTCACACCTTGCTAATTAATTGAAATCATTCATTTAAGATGCCATCCGCCCTATCTCAACCGTTTTTGTGGACTCTTTAAATCTTGTTTTTCATTCATTCTTATTAGTCCGGCAACAGAGGTCGCGAATGCTTGTTATGGCAAGTGGCAACCGACCATGTGACAACCTGGTGGCATTTTCCCGTGGCAACAGGTGTCAATGGCTACGGCTATTGCGACGCATTTGAAAATCAGACATATTTTGAATTCAACATAATTAAACTAACAGATCAATTTCAAATACATCAAAATTTTGCACTGCATTACTTTGTTATCTGACCAAACACCATACTTTCAAAAAACATTGCAAAAGAAATGCATTATCCCAGTAATGCAACAAACCAAACAACACCTAAATTTAAGCCATGAGCACTTATTTGAGAAGTTCATGCCTCAGTTCAGTTATTTCTAAAAATAATTAAGGAGCCTTTTCTCTTTTCTTCATGATACAACTAATATAATATTGGACCCGACATATCACAATCACCGCGCCCTTAAAACTACAGATAAAACTGTCATAAAAAAAAGATTGGTTATGCCTTTATAAAAGACAACTTCCTCTTTGACTGCAAAAAATGGTAAAAGCATTTTACAGCCGTTATGACAATTTTAACTGGATTGATGCCTAGCCAAATCACTAAAACGACCAATTCAAAGCATATTTTCGCTGTTTTTTACTTGTTTTATGTTGGAAAAAGAGAACATAATATTCATCAAGTCCATGTTTCACAAACTAAGGTACTCAATAACATCTATCAAGATAAAACTTTTTAATGAAAATAATCATAAAATCATTTTCCCACAAATGTGAAACAACTTGATGGTTCTAAAGATGGTAAAAAAATACGAAACATAAGAAGAAAAGATAAAATCAAGAATAAGAAACTAGCAAAACTGCAAATATTAATAAAAGAGAGGGATTTACGTGCATAGCACAGAATTCTCATGTATTTACATATCTCACACCTAAACTTTTATATTTATAAGTAACACTTAAATCTTTATATCACATAAAAAAAGCACTATTACCACTTTTTAAAAATGAAATACACATTTTCATGCATAGGTTTAAAACACACTGAAGTGCTATGTATGTAAATGTTAAAGTTTAGGCATGAGATATGCAAATACATAAGAAATGTGTGTTACATATGTAAATTTCCTAATACAAAAACCATGACCATACCAGTATCCAACAGACTTGCATCTTGAACATCGAGATGTTGCAGGGGCATAGCATTTGGCACACACATGAGTGTCAAACTTACATAAAGGGACTACAGGCAAAATATCAGCTGAAGCCATGATTTCTTCTTCTCTAAAAGACTCTTCTGCTGCTATCTGAGCGAGTATGTTCACCTTCACCACCTTCTTTGAATTATCATTCCACTTGCCGAGAATAATGTAGATGATGACAGGCAACACAACCAAAACCATAAAAAGAGCAGGTATATCAGCTTCCCTTGGCTTTAGCATGTCCACCTGACGTACTCATGTCCAAACTACACCAAATACCTCTCAAAATTGCAATTTTTTTTTACAAGTTTAGTAAGCTTCTCAACCTCACAAGGTAAAGTTAATCAGTGAATCAAAGAGAAAATTCAATAATTATCAGTCTACTTAGTTAACCACTACAAACCAACAACCCAAAAAAAAGGAAAATTTACATAATTAGCCCACAAATCTTATGTATTTACATACATGGCACTAGGGTGTTTTAAACATATGCAAGAAAACGTGTATTTGACTTTTTAAAAGTGGTAATAGTACTATTTTTTATGTCATATTATAAATTTGAGAATTATGTGTATAAATATGAAAGTTTAGGCATATGTAAATACATAAGAATTGTGTGGTATGTGTGGTATGCATGTAAATGCCCGGTATGCATGTAAATGCCCAAAAAAAAAAAAAGTTGGTAGTATTTAGTAAATCTCTAAATCCGTAAATCCTTAAATCCACCCATCCCTCATATAAAGTAAATCCAGATTTAGGCCGAATCAAAGGCAAATTTGGATTTACTAAATCTGAAAATTCGTAAATCCATGGAACTACTGCATTTTTTAGTTTGGCTAAATTTAGTAAATCAAGTGGTAAATCCTATTAAAAACCTCTACCGAACTGGCGCTAAGGCAAAATTAAAAAAAAACCTTAATTCTAACCTAACAGCAAATGAAATTAGGTGAAAACATGATTAGTAAACCATTAATATTTGAAAAAAAAGACAGTTTTCTCAATAATCTACCTTTGGGAAGCTCATAAACTTGGGGATTCAGTTCTTTCCGTATACACATTCTGAAAACAAAGAGAATGAAACATCAATGACATGCAGATTAAGCTATGATAACAGGACTGATAAAATGTACAAATGAAATCAAAGAAGCTTACCGATCTTAGTAAATGAGGAATCATTTATGGATATCAGCGGTACCTTGTTCTATATTTGAGAAGTACAGTCGAAATTTCGTCAATTATAGCCTCAATAAGCTTTTAAAAAAAAGGGAGGAAAGCCATAAGAGATACCTTATATCATGATTTACTACCCAAACAAGCTCAATTAAAACCTGAAAATGTTAGGGTAATACCTCAAAGCAACCCCGCAACCAGTATACAACTAAGTTTCCATTAATAAAGAAGAAAACGCTAAACAGAAATATATTTTAACAATCGTTTCAATAATTTTTTT